GTGCGTGCGTGTGTGCGTGGTTGTGGTTGTTATGGTGGTGGTGTGTGTATGTGTGTGTGTGTGTGCGTGTGTGCGCGTGTGCTGTGGTGTGACGTGGTGTGGCGTCTTGGTGGTTTGGTGGTGGGCCAGATGCGTACGTGCGTGATGGCGGTGGTGGTGGTGGCGGTGGTGTGTGTGTGTGTGTGTGTGTGTGTGTGTGTGTGTGTGTGTGTGTGTGTGTGTGTGTGTGTGTGTGTGTGTGTGTGTGTGTGTGTGTGTGTGTGTGTGTGTGCGTGTGCGTGCGTGCGTGCGTGCGTGCGTGCGTGCGTGCGTGCGTGCGTGCGTGCGTGCGTGTGTCTGTGTGTGCGCGCGTGTGATGTGGTGTGACGCGGTGTAGCGTGGTGGTGGTGGGTGGGGTAGTGCGGTGGTGGTGGCGGTGCGCGGTGGTGGTGCGCGTGCGTGCGTGCGTGCGTTGGTGGGTGGAAGTGGCGGTGGGTGTGCGTGCGGCGGGGCGGGGCGTGGTGCGGCGCGGTGGTGGCGGGCGGATGGGCGCGCGAGAAAGAGGCCCGCGCTGGGGCGAGAACGCCATCCTGAACGACGGAGGCAAAACACCGATCCGAAAATGAGGCCCACGCTGCAGCGGGAGCACGATTCGGAACGATTCGGGAGCAGAAATGAGGCCGGCGCCTCAGCGAGAGCAGCATTTTGAAAAAAAACGCAGGCGAAAACCCAACTCCGGGGAATCCGTGTGTAAAAAAACAGTACGCGGGGGGGGGCGAATACGCAAAAGACGTCATCAGGGGAAGAGGGAGGTAGTATTCAGATTGAGTATTGTGGGAGGAGGAGGAGGAGGAGGAGGAGGAGGAGGAGGAGGAGGAGGAGAGAGGAGGAGAGGAGGAGGAGGAGGAGGAGGAGGAGGAGGAGGAGGAGGAGGGGGGGGGAGGAAATGGTCCAAGGAAAGGACGGCGCCCCCACAATCATCGTGCTACCATGGGGATGCCACACACACAGCGAAGGGGCCGATAAGGGCGACCGCAGCGGGGGTTGCGACCGGGGGGGGAGGGGCAAAGGGGTCAAGGAAAGGACGGCGCCCCCACAATCATCGTGCTACCATGGGGATGCCACACACAGAGCGAAGGGGCTGATAAGGGGGGCCGCAGCGGGGGTTGCGACGGGGGGAGGAGGGGGAAGGGGGGGGCCAAGGAAAGGACGGCGCCCCCACACTCATCGTGCTACCATGGGGATGCCACACACAAAGCGAAGGGGCCGATAAAGGGGGGCCGCAGCGGGGGTTGCGACGGGGGGGGGGGGGGAGTGGGCCAAGGAAAGGACGGCGCCCCCCCACAATCATCGTGCTACCATGGGGATGCCACACACAAAGCGAAAGAGCTGATAGGCGGGCCGCAGCGGGGGGGGAAAGGGGAAGGGGGCCAAGGAAAGGACGGCGCCCTCACAATCATCGTGCTACCATGGGGATGCCACACACAGAGCGAAGTGGCTGATCAAGGGGGACCGCAGCGGGGGTTGTGACGGGGGGGAAGGGGGAGTGGGCCAAGGAAAGGACGGCGCCCCCCCCACAATCATCGTGCTACCATGGGGATGCCACACACAAAGCGAAAGAGCTGATAGGCGGGCCGCAGCGGGGGTTGCGACGGGCGGGGAAGGGGGAGGGGGCCAAAGAAAGGACGGCGCCCTCACAATCATCGTGCTACCATGGGGATGCCACACACAGAGCGAAGGGGCTGATAAGGGGGGCCGTAGCGGGGGTTGCGACGGGGGGGGGACGGGGAAGGGGCCAAGGAAAGGACGGCGCCCCCTCAACGATCGTGCTGCCATGGGGATGCCGCACACAGAACAAAGGGGCTGATAAAAGGGGGGCCACAGCGGGGGTTGCGACGGGCGGGGAAGGGGGAGGGGGCCAAAGAAAGGACGGCGCCCTCGCAATCATCGTGCTACCATAGGGATGCCACGTAAAGACCGAAAGGGATGAGAAAGAGGGACCGCAACAGGGGTTGCGACGGGGCGACGGAGGGGGCCAAGGAAAGGACGGCGCCCTCACAATCATCGTACTACCATGGGGATGCCACACACAGAGCGAAGGGGCTGATAGGCGGGCCGCAGCGGGGGTTGCGACGGGGCGACAGGGGGGAGCCAAAGAAAGGACGGCGCCTCACAATCATCGTGCTACAGTCGGGGCCTTGACCTAAGGAACCCAAAATAAGGAACGAGGTCCCTTTTTTCCATAAGTTAACCTTCGATGTCCGATCGAAAACATAAGCAAGACCTGAGGCAAGCTGCGAAACACGTAAGGAACGCGGAGCCCCGCCCCAACGAAAAGGGTTCCTTCTTCAGGGCCCCGACTGTACCATGGGGATGCCACATACAGAGCGAAGGGGCTGATAAAAAGGGGGCCGCAGCAGGGGTTGCGACGGGGCGACGGGGGGGAAGGGGGAGGGGGCCACGGAAAGGACACAATCATCGTATTACCTTGGGGATGCCACACACACAGAGCGAAGGGGCTGATAGGCGGGCCGCACCGGGGGTTGCGACGGGGCGACAGGGGGGAAGGGGAGGGGGCCAAAGAAAGGACTGCGCCCTCGCAATCATCGTGACACCATGGGGACGCCACACAAAGACCGAAGGTGCTGATAGGCGGGCCGCAGCGGGGATTACGACGGGGCGACGGCGGAGAAGGGGGAGGGGGCCAAGGAAAGGACGGCGCCCTCGCAATCATCGTGCTACCATGGGATGCCACACACAGTCCGAAGGGGCTGATAAAAGGGGGGCCGCAACGGGGGTTGCGACGGGGCGACGGGGGGAAAGGGGGAGGGGGCCAAGGAAAGGATGGCGCCCTCACAATCATCGTGCTGCTACCATGGGGATGCCACACAAAGACAGAAGGGGCTGATAAGGGAGGCCGCGGCGGGGGTTGCGACGCGGCCACAGGGGGACGGAGGAGGAGGAGGAGGAGGAGGAGGAGGAGGAGGAGAAGGGAGGAGGCTGAGGAGGAGGAGGAGGAAGAGTAGGAGGGGGCCCAGGAAAGGACGGCGCCCCCGCAATCATCGTGCCACCATGGGGATGCCACACACGCAGACCGAAATGGGCTGTTCTGGCCACGGCGAGCCTCGCCCGCGGACAGGCTCCCCGAGCTGGACCCGGCCGGAAAACTGGAGCCTCTCCTCCCTCCCTCCCCCTCTCCCTCCTCCTCCTCCTCCTCCTCCTCCCTCTCCTCTCTCCCTCCTCCTCCTCCTCCTCCTCCTCCGCCGCCGCCTCCGCCTCCTCCTCCTCCTCCTTCTCTCCTTGGCTCTGGAGCCCCTCCCCATTCCCTCCTCCCTCCTCCCTCCTCTCTCCTCTCTCCCTCCTCCTCCTCCTCCTCCTCCTCCTCCTGCTCATCCTCTCTCCCTCTCTCCCTTCTCCTCCTCCCTCCCTCCTTGGCTGTAGACCCTGGGGCGCTCCCCCGAACCAGCTTTTCGTCCCCACTTTGGGTGGTCCTGGGGCCCAGGGATGGCCCAGAGGGCCAAAAACGCAGAATCAATCCGCATCGAATCGGGACGCCGGATCAAATCTCAGTGTGCGTCGGATCGGGCTGCATCGACACGGACTCGAAATCGGATCGAGCTGGCTGCGCCAAGTCGGGCCGCACCCGATCGCCAGGACATCGGAATCGAAGCGGATCGAGCCGGGCGACATCGGCATCGAAACGGATCGATTGAATCGAGATTGGTCCAGAATCGGCGAAGCAACTTCCAGTACCGTTTCCTGGAACAGGAGAAACGTCATAAATCTACTCCGTCGGAAGTTCGCGCGGAACTCTTGAGTCGGCGCTCACCCACCCTGCCTGGCGTGCGGAGCGCGACAGGGGCGCCGCCGGATGCGCCACCAGGGGGTCCAGCGCCGATCCAACACGGTCGAGCTACTACCGAGGGAGCGCTGAGTGAAGAACGAAGGCCCTTTCTGGCCCCAGAAGCGCCTGGGTGCAAGAGTGGCGCCGGAGGAGCAGCCACGGAGAGGCCGGAGGCACAACATGCCCCCTTCGAGCCCGAACTGTTTCTCCATGTGACGTCTCGGCTGTAAATCCGCACGGGTCACCAGCAGCCTGTCTCTACGCCATTGCCTTGTTCTTCCATTTCCCCCCCCCCCAGGGGGCCGAAGAGGAGTGGCCCGGGGATCTCCGAGGGCTGGTGGGGGCCCTCGCGGCGCGACGGCGAGGGCGAGGGGGGAGGACACGGGGGGGGGGGCGAGCATCGTTTAACCGATTCCTATCCCCACGGGAGTGGCCTGGGCGCCTCTGGCCAATTCACCCCCCATAGGTGGGGATAGAAGCTTTTCCCTTCGAGTTTCTACGGTCATATACCCAACTGGGGTGGTAGGATGGTGGGGATGTGGATAGGGATCGATTGAACGATACTGAGGCGGAGGGGGGCGGGGAGGCGGGGCAGAACGGGCCGACCGGGATCCAAAGCGTTGGTGCCTGATTGGCAGCGCCGTGCTACCTGCTGGCAAAATGACATCTGAAGATCTTCGCACTGTCACAGTGGGCAATCACCTGCGACCTCGCTGGGGGGAGACCGCTTGCCCAACGCATGACCGCCTGAGAAAGTAGACCCATGACGGCCTACATGAACACCATCTTCACAATTACATCTGCGCTAGGGAGAGGAGCCGGAAGTCGGAGGACAGGGGAAGGAGGACGAGGAGAGATGGGGGAGGAACAATGGTAGGACAAGGTCGGATCTTCCAGCACCGAATCGGGAACGTGTGTCGGATCGTGCCGCACCGGCGCGGAGCAGAAATCGAATCGGCCTGGCCGCGCCATGATGCACGACAGCGCCCATGCAATCATCAGGACGCAATCAGCCGTCGAAATATCGGAATCGGATTGGATCGAGCTGGCCTGACTCGACATCGCATCGGATCGACATGGATCCTGCAAGGGATGCAAGACGAGGAGAGAAGGGGATAAGCACAAAACAGAAAGGGGAGAGGAGACGGGAGACTAACATGGGGACTAAGATGAACGAGCAGGGATGGGGGGGAGATATGGACTGAAGTTGGGATCAAGCGGCAACGGAAACGATTTTTCGGCAGAGCGCAAAATGACTGAGGCTTGGGGCGCTTCAAAAACACGATCCGTCGTGACGGCAATAGAATCAGTAATAGGGGTAACAGCGGCAATTAAACCGCACGCATATCGGTGACCGAGCATTCAAGCTGTTTCGGCCCGAACACTGGGGATGCCTTTAACGTACAATCCCTCGTCAAGGAACGACAATGTGGAACCAGGCTCACGCGGCAGAACCCGCCGCGCATCCGCGTGAAAATACGTCGTGGGGTAGAATCCAGATCGGCCTGACTCTAGCACCTTGAAATAAGCCGCATGCCGGCGTGAGCATGATCGTATGATCATGCGTCCAGGATCTAAACAAACTGTTCAAAAAGTCGTCCGCCGTGTTGACCAAGTCACAGACGACACTATGCACAATACGACTGTCGCTGGCTTTGCCTGCTCTCTTCTCAACCTCCGTCCCGTGTGGGCACCTGCCCTCTGGCACTCCCTCCCCTTCGCATGCCACCGCAAATCATGCGCAACACTGCCTGCAGAGGCACGGGTCATCGCCGCTAGCGTGGCGCTCGCGACCACGTCAGCATAGCCCCCGTCTGCAGAGGTCCGACGAGGGCCTGTCTGCACAACCAGAGGCCCGTATGCGAAGAGAGCGTGCGTCGCCCCTGCCCTGCAGCAGCGAGACAAACCCGTCCAGAGGCCTGGCCACGCAGTCGTCTGGGAGGCCACGACGGGGGCGAGCAGCCCAAGAGGGGGTGCCTCACGTCTCGTTTGCGGGCTCCGTCGGGCATCAAAAACCAGAGGACGTCAACTAATCGCCCAACCAATCCTGGCCCAGCTGATCCTGAGCTCAGGATCGGTATACATTATATATACAGATATGTGTGGTATACATAAATATACGTATGTGTGTATATATATAGTTGTGCGCCTCCTTGGCACGGCTCGGCGAGGTCAACAGCTAATTCTTTCCCATGTCGACGCCCCGCGCCTTCGAAGTCATTGAGAACTGTTAATCGCATCTGCCACGACTGTGAACCACAGCTTGGAACAAATAATCAAGAGATGTGCAAACAAGCCGAAGAAAGCAGGAGCACGGAACCTGGCTCGACCGCTTATAAATCAGCAGCGAAGAACACCCCCTGACTCCTGAAATCGATATTGATCGATATTCACCCTCATCCCTCATATCCCAGATGTGGGATTATTGGTTTCTTCTTGACATCTCCATCGTTCGCATATCTGTCACAACGTCCTCTTCCCCTCCTACTTCTTGTCAGCCGCCTCCCCCTCCTGAACCGATTTGTACACATACATGCAGGTTGCGTATGATAGCATACAAACAAGCATGTCAACATCATCATGCACAACGCGTCGACTCAGAAAACCATACACACATTCTCTCGCCTCATCGCTTACCACTCCCAGAAAGGTTACACGCTCATCTCACGTGTCGCGCGGTGGTTGTTGCCCCAACGCAGGCTGCACTCCCAGCTCGAAATTGTGATCTCTCCTCGGCGCTGGCTACTGCCTGAGGGGTCGGACGGTGGAAGATCTCACTCGCGGCCATGTGGTTCTCGCCTTCGCGCTGGCCACGTTCCCCAGCCAGGGATGCTCCTCTGGCTTCGTCTCTGGCCGGTGTCTGCGGGATCGCCCAACGGACATGTAACCTAACACTGAGCGAACCGACACCGACACCGAAAACGACCGAAGCCAACAGGCCGCCAGCAGCCCAGAAGGGCGCAGCCGCTCACCAGCGGCACGGCAACCGACCGACACGAACCGACTGAGCGCGACCCACGGCCGAGCAGCAGACACGACCCAGCTAGAGGAAAGAGAACTGTGCACATACACCGATTCTGGCCAGGCCCAACCCTGAGCCCAGGATCGGTGCATACGCCCTCTTACCTTGGCCAGGGAAGGTACATGCACCGATCCTGGGTCAAGGATGGGCGTTGTCAGGATCGGTGCATGTGCATAGTTCTCTTCGCCCGACCAGCTCGGAGCGGCGCCCTTGCTTCGCCGCTGGCTCCGCAGGACGCCCTCGCCCCACCTGGCGGCCAGGCCGCGGGCTCGGAGCGGTTGAAGGGGCTCCAGGGCACACAAATCAATACACACAAATAAGAGGACTCCCCATACTTCCCCATATGTGTTCTGGGCTTCTATCTTCCCCCCCACTTCCCATATCTTCCCATATCTTCCTGGGAGTCGACGATGAATTGTGTCTGTGAGTGTTTTTTCCCCCTCCCGAGCGGTGCGCGGCGGCGCTCCGGCGGCCTGGCCCCGCCCACAGCTCGGCGGGGGCCGCGCACGGCGCGCGAGCCCGCCGCGCCCCCTCGGGGCTCGGGAGCGGCCACGCCCGCGGCTCTCGGGGCAGCGCCCTCGCCGCGGCGCTGGCCTTGGCTCCCCAGCTCACAGGGGCTCCCAGCTTCGCGCTTCGCGCTGCGCGAAGTGCGAATAACTTCGCGCTCTCGCGCCGCCTCCCAGGGGAGAAGAGGAGGATGAGGAGGAATCGGAGCCGAACCGCGAAGCGCGAATAACTTCGCGCCCTCGAGGGCGCCCTTGGGCTCAGCACGGTGCTCTCGCCCTGGCACGCCCGCCGCGCCCCCGCCTCGGCGGCGTGGCCGGGCGCCGGTCCGGCGCCAGCCCAGCGGCGCTCTCGCCTCGGCGCTGGCTGCATCGCGTACCCCTCGGCAGGGTGGGCGCCGGCCACACGAGGAGGCGTGCTCGCTTCAGCGCGCCAGCCATGTTTACCACTTCAGGGGTAGAGGCAAACATGGAAACAGCAGCAGGTCGCAACCGAAGCAGAGAGATCCGCCGCCGAACTTGCGGCTGCTGGTGAAGGTGTGTGTGTGTGTGTGTGTGTTGTCGGGGCCTTGCTTTCTGCGTTACCTTTGCTTCTTGCCCCGACGTATCGAGCCCAAGTCGTGTTTATTTTTTTTACCAAGCCGCTGGGCTTTGGCTCTCCAGGAAAAAGCGTCCGCGTGCAGTTCATGCAAACACATCGGGTGCTCTGGCAGAATACTTTAATACACTTTCCCCGCCTCTTCCCCGAGGTCACCTTACTTCGCGCATCGCGCCCCATGATGCGCGATTATCTGCGCGATTATCTTCGCGCAATCGCGCCAACCACTTGGAGAAGGGTGACCGCTTTGGCCCAGACCGCGACTCGCGAAGCACGATTATCTTCGCGTCGCCGCGGGTGACCTAGTTCCCCCGCATCCACGACAGTTCCCAACCGAGGCACCCTTGTTTGTTATCTGTAGGGTCGGGGTCAGGGAGACGCCTGCCACCTCCCCACGAATCAGGAATCAGGGGCTGCGTGTCACGGCAGAACTAGTTCGCGCCTTGCAGCGCTGAGCGCTCTGAGCTGAAAGAAGGCCAAATGATGACTCAGCCCAGTGTTCTCAGCTGTCAACCGCGCGCCAAGTCGCCCACTCAATGCGGCACCTCAAGCGTCCATGCAAGGATCAGGGCCGGATGTCATGCCAGAAGTGGCTGACGCCTTGCATTGCTAGCGCCCTCGGCTGAAGTAGAAGGTCAAGTGATGACTCAACCCAGTACGCTCAGTTGACAGCTGCACGCCATTCGCCCACTAAGGTGGTACCTCCAGCGTCCATGGTGCCCCGCTGCCAGGCGGTCTGGGGGCGGAGGGCACGAACATCTCCACGCGTATGTCCTTGCCAGCCACCGTCTGAACACTGCCTTCCCTCAAGATACGATTGACGCTGCCAACGTCCGACATGACGACAAACCCGATGCCGCCTGGGCGGATCCTCACCGAGGTCGACGTCGCGCCTCCCCTACGAAACGGCTTCGCCTTCGAGCGAGCGACGAGCACCCTGACAACCCGCCCGAACAGCGAGTAGTGCGACGCGATGGCCTCCTCGGAATCGAAGCCCAAGGTGTTGATCTGGCGGACCATGAAGACCCGCCGGGGGTCCCCCTCCTGCTGCAGAGCCTGCAGGATGTCCGTGATCGTGCTGGCCTGCCGATCCTGGGGTATGGCAGAACTGCACAGGCCGAAACTAGCACGAGGTCGGGCCCGTCCCCCGACAGGCGGATCCTGGGCGACAAGAGCAAGAATGGTCCACCAATGCCCCCGAAGCGGTCCAAACAGTGGCCCCCAGACTTCCTTTTTTTTTTTTTTTCGAGTATCCCACCTGTGGAGGGACAGGCCCGACTGACACCTGGTAGCGGCCCGCGCGGACTTCTTCGGATCGGCGCTTCGCCCCCGCTCCCCTGGGCCGCACGGAGCGCGCCAGGGGGCCCGGGGCGCCGGCTCGAGCGAGGTCCGCGCGGAGAGCGCTGGAAGTGTTCCCTCGAAGCTTCGTCATCGAGAGGGGGAGGGGGTGTCTGACTCGAGAGGGGGCTCTGATTTGAGAGGGGGCTCTGATTTGCGTGGGGTTCTGCATTTGAAGGGGGTTCCGATGTTGGCGCTGGGGTCGGGGCCGCCCCTTCATGGCTGGCCCCCAGGGGGAGGGGTTGAGGCGGCGCGTCTGGGAGGTTTTGTGTGACCCCCACCCCTGCGGTATGAGGTTCGGAGTGTGCCCGTGCAGACCCGGAGATTCGACGGCGCGAAAGAATCCCACCAGCCCTCTGGGCGTAGGTGGTTCCGGGAATTTCCTCTTCCATCTTCCACTTCCCCTTCGGGGAGCGGTTTACCCCTCCCCCTAACCCCCTCCCCTGGACCTGGACGGGGGGTTTCGCTGGTAGTTAGAGCGTCCAAAACGGCCTCGGCGAGGAAGCCAAAATCATCGGTTTTACTAGGGTTTGGGCCCCATTTTGGCCTCTTGGGGGGCAGTGCTAATTGACCCCACCCTCTTCTTTGATCGATCGCCTCCAAGATGGCCCCAAGAGGCGCCCAGGAGGCCCCAAGAGGCGCCAAGATGGCCCCAAGATGGCCCCAAGAGGCCGCCATGAGGCCCCAAGAAGCCCCCAAGAGGCTCCAAGGGGCTCCCAGGATGGTTCCAAGAGGCCTCCTAGAGGCTCCAAGAGGCCGCCATGAAGCTCCAAGAGACCCCCAAGAGGCCCCAAGAGGCCTCCAACAGGCCCCCAAGAGCCCCCCAAGAGGATCCCAAGCGGCCTCAAGAGGCCCCCCCGAAGCACCCAAGACGCCCAAGAGCCCCCATTGACAGCCAAGAGACCCCCAAGACGCCCGAAGAGGCTTCCAAAAGGCTTCCAAGAGGCATACGAGCGGCATTCAACCATCCACCCAGCGTCATCATTCTCCTCATCCCTCCTTCGCTCGGTTCCTCGCCACCCTCTCATCTATCCATCTGGCCTCCTCTTCCGCCTCGTCCTTTGCACGGATCGGCTGTCCCTCTCGTTGCTCCCCCACTTCCCTGATCTCTTCAACTTGCCTGGACATCGTTTCTGGATGGGCTGGTGGGGATACTTTTTTTGATCTGCGGCTCCAAGGACGATTCCAGAGAGCGGGTCGTATCGAGCATGGGGCAGCACGCAAGATAATTGCCCTGGTGGGGATACGCGAAGCGTCAAGAATTGAAGCATTGCAGAAACCCGCGACCAGAGCCCTAGACCCGACCCCATCGCCACTCGTCGAGCCGCACCAATCCGTGAGGCTCCCGAGGCCCGAAATCCAGCCACGACGCCCAGCTCGAAAACATCGAGACGTCAGGATCTCAGGGCCTGCAGTCGGCCCGTGTCATAAGGATGCGCGGTCAGGATGCAAGTGCCTTGGAAGGCCACCTCGAAGCTTCTCGAGCGGGGCGCGGCCAACGAGAGTGGCCAATGATGGACCGAGGAGGCAGGGATGCAAGGGTACCCGTGGGAAGGCTGCCCATCGTTACGCTGCGGGTCGGCTGTGACCCTCTCCCCTCCGAGGCCTGCCCGCTCTTTCCATTGAGACGCCAGGACCTCGGGGGGCGCGCAAACGTGGACCAGCGACCCGTGGATTCGGCGCGCGGCCGCCGAATCCATGGGTCGGGGGAGGTGCCCTCCCCAAACTGTGGCCGGCGCCGCCCCGTTCGGCGGCAGAGATCCGCGACTCCCCCTGGAAACGGGACCCGCCACCCGTCGCCAATCCACGCCCCCGTTCGGAGGAGGAGGAGGAGGAGGAGGAGGAGGAGGAGGAGGAGGAGGAGGACGGGGAGGGGGAGGGGGAGGGGGAGGGGGGAGGAGGGGGAGGGGGGGAGAGGGAGGAGGAGGAGGAGGAGGAGGAGGAGGAGGAGGAGGAGGAGGACTTGATCCAAGTTCGCGATCGTCCGAGGATCTCCGGGCCCGCCCCTCTCCTCCGAGGCCTGCCCGCTCTCCCCCGCGCCGCGCCCGCCCTGGCCGAGGCCGCCCCCGCCGTGTGCGGCCCCGCCGGGCACGGCCGCCGCGCCGGGCGCGCCCCGCGCAGCGACCGCGCCCGGCGGCGCCGCCTCGCCGCCCTGCGGCCCGGGGCGCTCCTGCGGGGCAGCGAGCGGGGTAGAGGAACAACAAACTTTGGGCCCGGCATTTGAGCAGGGACCGACCGTCCCGGCATTCCTATAGTCCTGCCACGAAATGTTCTCAGAATACCAAAATGTTCCAAGAACAAAAACAATGTTTTTTATAACATAAGCCCGACGTGTTAAAACAAGACAGTCCCAACCAGAAATGTTATAAAAACATTTCGTGGGAACCGCAAAAGGTTCTTATAACATTATTTGGTAGGACTATAGGCACGCCAGGACGCTTCGCCACTGCTTGAGGCATGTCCCCCAGCAGGCGGATTTTGGAGGAAAGTTCAAGAATAGCGCCGCCCCTGGCTCAACACCAGAGTGCCTACGGGCAAGAGGCGTTGATCGTTGCCTGCGATGCGGCAACAACGGCCTGCGTGCTTGAGCGTGGAGCCCCCCGGCGCCCCACCGAGAGCCGCGCAACAAAGGCGACCCTAACTTTAGGCCGGGCATGTCCTCCTCAGGCGGATTTGGGACGAAAAACGGAAAATAGTAAACAACAGTGCTCGAACCTAGTCAGAAATAGTAGCACAATCGTCGCCAGACTATGCTTTGAAACAATGTTTGGATCTCCCCCCTGCAGAAGGACATGCCCGACGTAACACAAACTGCATCAACACAAGCTTCTGGATCTTCGAGCGGATCTGGGCTTCGTAAACGGGGGTTTAACTAAACGGGGGCTTAGGCTTTTCCATATACCCCCGTTTACTGTACCAAACGTGGAAATCGGCGTTCCCCGTACCCCCGTTTACTGTGCTCCCGTCTCTGGCGCCCTGAACGGACTTCTTAGATCCGCGCCAGACTCCCCTCCCTGGCGCGCGTCAGCGCGCCGGGGGCGGCGCCAGAGGCGCCCGCCAGGGGGGGGGCCCGCGCGGATCCAAGAAATCCGCGCGGAGCGCCAACAGCTCATGTCTATGGTTTTTTTGGGGGGAGGGGGGTTTCTTATTCCCAGCCATCCTGTGGTGTTGGGTCCTCGTTTTGAAGAGACGGTGCCCCGCGTCTCCTTCCTTCCTCCTCCCCCTCCTCCCTCCTCCCCCATCCTGGCTTTTGCTCTCCGCGTGTCTCTGTTTCGGCACACCCCTCACACGCTTCGTGGCCCCATAGGGAGCTCCACCTTGGGTCCCAGTGGCGGAACTCGCATGGCGCCGCCGCCCCATTTTGGCACACCCCTCACACGCTTCGTGGCCCCATGGGGAACTCCACCTAGGGTCCCAGTGGCGGAACTCGCATGGCGCCGCCGCCCCATTTTGGCACACCCCTCACACGTTTCGTGGCCCCATAGGGAGCTCCACCTAAGGTCCCAGTGGCGGAACTCGCATGGCGCCGCCGCCCCATTTTGGCACACCCCTCACACGCGTCGTGGCCCCATAGGGAGCTCCACCGAAGGTCCCCGTGGCGGAACTCGCATGGCGCCGCCGCCCCATTTTGGCACACCCCTCACACGTTTCGTGGCCCCATAGGGAGCTCCACCAGGTCCCAGCGGAACTCGCATGGCGCCGCCGCCCCATTTTGGCACACGCTTCGTGGCCCCGGGTCCCAGTGGCGGAACTCGCATGGCGCCGCCGCCCCATTTTGGCACACCCGTCACACGTTTCGTGGCCCCATAGGGAGCTCCACCTAAGGTCCCAGTGGCGGAACTCGCATGGCGCCGCCGCCCCATTTTGGCACACCCCTCACACGCGTCGTGGCCCCATAGGGAGCTCCACCGAAGGTCCCCGTGGCGGAACTCGCATGGCGCCGCCGCTCCATTTTGGCACACCCCTCGCACGTTTTGTTGCCCCATAGGGAGCTCCACCTAACGTCCCAGTGGCCTCAAGAACGGCCTCGTCGAGAATGCCGAGGGGCAGATCGTGCACATCGTCGTGGACCCTCGAGATCGGGACGACGTAGACAAGGCCGAGAGAGACGGGGAGAAGAGGATCTATCTGAAGCACTTGCCGCTGGGGTTCTGGGTGCGCATGGAGAAGTGCGCGAGCGCGCCCTTCGTGGACGACCTCGAGCGCCACGACGACAGCCTCACGGGGGACCTCACGGGCAAGCTGGTGTTCATCGAGCCTCGCACGTCGGAGCCGTTCACCTTTCGCACCTCCAAGGTCACCCGAACGGGCTTCCCCTTCTCGCACGGCCGGCAGGGTCATCACCACGGTGGCGTGCCAGGGGCGCACCATGCGCGAAGGCGACGGGGCGAGGGAACAGCGCTCGGGGGCAGTTTACGGCCAGACCTGCTGGGCGCGAGCAGTCCGCAGCCAGACCTCCTCTCGGTCTGTGGACTCTCGCCCTGGGCCGTCGGCTGCCCGGCGCGCTGTTCCCTCGGCCGACATCGCCCAAGCGTGATCCTGGACTGCGGCCGCCACGAGGTGGGGAACGGCAAGAAGGAGGACGACGACTGGTGGCTGGAGCTCTACGTCCTGCTCTCGCGCGCCACGCGCCACGAGGACCTCCTGCTCATGCGGGCGCCGCGCATCGAGTTCTTCCTGGCAGGGCCGCCGGAGGGCTTGCGGAAGCAGCTGGAACAGTTTGCGGCGCGCACGAAGCGATGCAGAAGGGAGGCGACGGCCCTCGCCAGGGAGATGGGCTTCACCGAGTTTATCCGCGAGGCTTGAGCTGAGGAGCGGCCCGCCCGAGACTCGCCGTCTCTCGACGGTATGACTGTTTGGCCTCGCGCCGCGGGCGATCCGCGCGCGTCGCTGGGACCCTCTCGGGGCGACCAGCGCGCGTCGCGGGAATTCCGCGCTGCGCTCTGCCCAGAGCCTCGCTCGCCCCCGTCGTCGCTCTGCCCAGCGGCCACAGTCTTGCCCGCTATCACCCAGCCAGCTGGCACTCTCTCTGCTCCGCGCAACGGACGACCCGCGCGCGTCGCCGGGACCCCTTCGGGGCGACCAGCGTGCGTCGCGGGGACTCAGTGCGGCGCCGCGCCCGCAGCCATGGACATCGGCGTGCACGGGCAAAGAGGCATAAAAAGAAGGGGAAGGAAGCGGGCGCGATCCTCGTGAGGGGCGTGCCGACATGGGCGTCGACATTGATGCACGTAGACTGAGTCGCACGCAGACACATTCACAATCATACTTACTCGCGCTCAGGCTCACCCGGTCTCAGTCTCGCGCACTCAGAGCGATCGTCTTTGTTCGTATTGGGGACCCCGCCACGAATTTCGGCACGCCCCCTCACACGAATCGTGGCCCCATAGGGAGCGCGAGCGAAGATGAGATCCACAATCGCGGTACTCACAACTGCATATGGTTGGGTCCTTCGCCAGGCTAATTCTTCTTCTTCTCATTCTTCTACACAAGCTTCTGGAGCTTCGAGCTGATTTCTCAGATCGGCGCTGGACCCCCCCTTCCCTGGCGCGCGGCGGCGCGCCAGGGGCGGCCGGGGGGCCCAGCGCCGATCTGTTGTTCGTGCTTATATGTAGCTGCTTTGTTCTTCGCAGGGCTGAACCTAAACGGCATTGTTCGTTTTCGCTTTGTTTTCGTTTCCCTCGTCGTGTCTCCAATCTGCCTTTACACCGCAAAACGAGGTCGACACGAAAACGGCCCACGAGATCGCCAAAACACCGTTCAGGTCCACCCCTGGTTCCTCGAAGGGGGGAGTGGCTCAAGGGGGGGAACATCGACCTGGAATCGGCGATCTGCTGTTTGTGCTTATATGCAGCTTTCTTGTTCTTCGAAGGGGGGGAACTGGCTCAATCGGCGGTGGACAAACCTCCCTTTTGTAAGCCTCCCTAAGTGAAAACGGCCTGGGACCGAAACCGACGGACCTGGACCCGCAAAAATGACGGCCGCGACGCCCTCTCGCGAACCGAAGACGGCCAACTCCTTAATCGACGTGTCAGGGAAGGAAGTCTACCCTGACCTTCCGGAGAGCTATTTTTTAGCACCGGAGGCCTAACAACCGAAACAACTGAGCGAAGGAGCCCAAAACCAAGACGCAGAATAGCTTTTGGATAGGTTTCCAGGTCGGGTGCTATTTTCTAGCCCTCCTGTCAGGGGGGCGTAAGACCTGGGTACAGGGGACTCGGAAATCCCCGACGAGGTCGTCAAAAAATGACGAGGCCGAGCCCGCATTTTGACGAGGCCTCCCGCTGCAGACATCCCACGAAACTCCTCCTCGTCAAAATCCGAGGCGCGGGCGTCAAAAAACGATGGCGAACCCGAGTCCTGGCAAACCCGGGTCTTACGCTCCCCCGATCCTGGAAGGTCAGGGCATCCACCTCCGACCCCAATGGCTCCAGGGGGGGGGGGAACATCGACCTGGAATCGGCGATGCGTGGCCGACGGATCGGCGACGGGCCCCCCGCGGCGAGTCCGCGCGCTCCTGGGCGGGGCGGGCCACCGGGAGGCCCCCGAGCAACGGACACATCCGGCTGCTCCCGTTGCTTCGGCGCGAGGGCCCCCGAGAGGTCCGCACCATATGTGGGCGGGGGCCGGCCGTCCCGGCATTACTACAGTCCTACCACGAAATGTTCCTAGAACCCAGCAGTGTTCTAATAACAAAAACAGGGTTCTCAGAACATGACGTACGCGCCCAGCTATGTACATGAACACGGCCCCTCGATCCGCGAGACCGGCCGCGTTATACGAACATTTGCGCAATGCGTACTCTCGAAACCAGCGAGGATTCATGTACATGTACGTCCTTCTTTCGCTCCTGACATATGTGAGCGTGGGCCGGCCGTCCCGGCATTACTATAGTCCTACCACGACATGTTCCTAGAACCCAGCAGTGTTCTAATAATAACCAAAACAGGGTTCTTAGAACATGAGCCCGGCGTGATAAAACAAGACGGATATCGCCAGAAATGTTCTAAGAACATTTCGTGGGAACCACATAAAGTTCTTATTGTTTGGTAAGGCTATAGGCACGCCGGGACGCTTCGCCACTGCTTGACGTATCTCTGGGCTTATGTTGCGCCCATTGTGCTTACGAGCCACATCCCAGAAATCATCTCGAGCACCTGGAAAAGTGCCGAAAGAGTGTCGAAAGAGTGTCGAGATAGTGTCGGACGAGTGTCTCCCAGGGCCCGACGTGTGAAAACCCTCGAGCTTTTGGGTACGCTTCTGGTGCTCGAAATTCTTTTCTGGTGATCAAGGCTACAGTAGGTTGGAACATCACAACTCTAGGGCCAGTTTCTCGTCCCGAGTCCTTTTCTGGGACGCTCCCGACGCCCGGCGAAGGCCCCCAGAGGCCGCAAACGGCCCCCAACCGCCTGCTCCAACTTCTGCGGGGCGCGTGGGATCGCAGGGAACGGCCCCGAGAGGCCCCACGGGGAGGCCCCCTTTGGCCCCTGAGCTCCGCCTTCGCCCCGGGGGGCTCGGCGATCCCCCTGCGGCCGCGAGCGTGCTCTGGCGGCCGCGCTGCCGCGCGGGGCTCGGCCGGCAGCCGCCCCGCGGGGGCGGCCGGCGCGGCGCGCGCGCAGCTGCGGGCCGCGTCGCCGTCGCGCGTCGGCTGGTGCTCCGGCTCGGCGTAGGGGGGCGCCTCTTCCCGGGGGGCGCGCAGACGTGGGCCAACGATCCGTGGATCTAGGGCGCGGTCGCCCTCCCCAAAACGCGGCCGGCGCCGCCCCGTTCGGCGGCGGAATCCGCGACTCCCCCTGGAAACGGGGCCCGTCGCTGATCCACGCGCCCTGGATCCATGTTCGCGATCGCCTGATCTCCGGGGCCCCAAAGCCGTGCGGTGACGGGCCGCGTGGTGGCCTCGGAATCCCCCAACGACCTCACCGCGCGGACCGTCCCCGTGCTGTTTCTTGGGCACCCGGCGGCCAAAATCGCCCGAAGCACGTCCTCGGAGAACGGCCCGAGCCCCCCCAGAACCGTGCTGCGACCCCAGATCCCTACTGACTCACCACGCGGTGTGGTCACCACCTCCTCCTCCTCCTCCTCCTCCTCCTCCTCCTCCTCCTCCTCCTCCCCGTCCTCCCCGTCCTCCCCGTCTCCCCTCCCCCCGTCCTCCCCTCCTTCCCCCTCCTCCTCCTCCTCCTCCTCCTTCCTCCTCTCCTCCTCCTCCTCCACCACCTCTCCTCCTCTCCTCCTCTTCCTCCTCCTCCTCCTCCTCCTCCTCTTCCTCCGCCTCCTCCGCCTCCTCCTCCTCCCGAGCCTCTCGCAGCTCGCGGCAGTATGTGCCTGGGTCGGACTGCGCGCGCGGGCTGTCTGGCGGGCCCGCGTCGCCGCTGCTGTCGCACAGCTCGATGAAGGTGTTCTTCACGTGAACGCTGAGCCCACACTGGGTGAACATCTGAATGCTTGAATCCGCGTCGGATGATGAGCACAAGCGCGCGCTTCGCGACTGGCAAATCTCATTGTCATCGGTCGTCTCCCAACTGGAGCTATCCGGGCCCTTCTCCACCTCACGGTGGTCGAGCATGGTCGGGAGCTGCATCGAAAGGTTCAGGAGCGCATTGTCAGAACCATTGCGACCTGAGCCATGCATGTGGCCCAACCCTGTTCAAACGAGGCCTGAGCCAAAATGAAAATCGCAAGACGACGAGCGCGTGAAGGTGTCCCAACCTTGCCGTCTCGAGCGCCCGCTATTGAATACAGGCAGGCATGAAAGCGTGAGCCTTCCTCCTGGACATTCGTGCTTAATGCTCAGGTGGTGCGCGACGCAGCGCGCGTGCAAAGGTGTGCGCGTCGTGGATCTCCCTGGGTGCATCTGTGGGCCAGTCATGATGCTCATTCTACCACTATCACGATGCTCACTCTGCTGCGCTGTCATACCCCGTCTTTCTTGGCGAAATCTAGGCCCTTAACTTATCGTCCTCCCAAACAACTTCAGACAACTCAAAAACTCAAAAACTCGAAACTGGCCTTCGAAGGCCCAAGCTGGCGAAAAGCCCGCCGCCTCCATTTCTGCGAGCTGGCGGCTGCGTGGGTGGGCCACATGTCATGCTGCTCTTCCGGCTGCTGCGCCGCTGCTCCTTTGGATGGCCGTCAACGAGGTGTCCCGTGTCCTGCTGTACCCCGGCGTCTTGCGGGGCGTCTGCGCGGAGTGCCCCACGAACCACGCACGGGCCATGAGAGGAGGCACTCCGGCACCACGCCTCCTGGCACGTTGAGGCGTGGCAGAATGCGCCAAATGCTGCCTGCCGCGCTCACGATGCCGCGATGCCTGGTAAACACAGCGTATGTGCGCTTCCCAGGCTGCGATCCCTTGTGAACAAGCAGTGGATCCGCGCGCCCGAGATCTCGATCCACTGTAGCAAACTATGGCTCCGCGCTCCCGAGACAGCCGAGGCAGGCAACCAGGGCCGCCAAGATGGCCCAAGGTGCTTCCAGGACGGCCCAAGATGGCGCCAAGGCGGCCCCAGGTGGTCCCCAGGGCGGCCCAAGACGACCTCAAGACGGCCCAGTGGGCCCCTCAGAAGACGGCCCACGAGGGCCACGAGAAGACCCCCTGTACGGCCCGAAGAGGCCCAACTCGTAGATGTTCTTTAGGCGTTTGAGAGTGTTGGGCGTCTTTTCTTCAGCTCCAGACGGGCCTAGATGCCTCCTAGATGGCTCCACGACAGCCCAGAGGGTCTCCAAATGGCACAATCATCATCCAAAACAGCCTCAAGATAACTCAAGAGGACCCCTAGCCAGCCAAGGACGGTCGCAAGAAGGCCCAAAGCTGGCGGAAGAAGGCCTCCAAGAGTTAGACAGCCCCTCGACGGCCCAAAGACGGTCGCAAGAGACCCCCCCAGACGACCACGAGGGCCCATAGACGGCCCAAGAGAGCCCCAATACTGCCCAAAGTGGCCCAGGTGATCTCCAAGACTGTCCTACAAGAGAGCAGGAAAGAACGGGTGAAAGGGAGAAAGGCGACGAAGACGAGGAAGAGAGTGTCACATGTTACGGTTCTCCTAAGCCTCGTGAAACGAGGTGTCACAAGTTACGATTTCCTGTGCGCCACAAGGTGCTGGGCTGCACGGTGGCGGAAGTTGCCACAAGCGCGCAGGCGTTAGGACGCCAATTAAGGATGCAAGACCCGTAGACTTCAAATCGGCGATGACAGACGTTTCAGAAAATACGATATACTGGGCACCCCTGCAGCGTCACCCCATCCTTACTCCTTACTATGGACATCCAACTATGCCGATTCCCGTTTCAAAGCGCGAATCATTTGGTGAATATGTGAGTTGTGTCTTTCCTCCATTTCCGGTCCCTCTGGGCCGCTTTCGGGTCCCAGAGCCCTCGAACAACGATCTGGGACAAGAACGGGCCCCAGGGGAGGTGTCGGGAGGTCTGGGGTAGCAGTGCAACTAATATCATTAGTCTCAGTGACATGGCGTAAGTAGAGCTGCTACGAGAGCAGCGGTGGCGGAGGAGGGGAGGCTTGCGGGGAGGGCGACGACGACGACGAGGACCAGGCGTGGCAGCAGCAGCAGCAGCAGCAGCAGCAGCAGCAGCAGCAGCAGCAGCAGCAGCAGCAGCAGCAGCAGCTCGACATCGATGCCGAGGTGCCGCACGAGTAAAAGCCCGCAGAAGTATGCCAGTATGCCCGTCGCCAGCACACGCCTGCTCGGAAGGTTGACGGTCCCGGAGCCAAGAAGCGGCCTCCAAAGGCGGAACGGAGGCGTCCAAAGACCGGCCGTCGCCACTGTTCTAGGGGATCGAATCCTATACACCGACGCTTGTTCTGGCCCTGCATTGGAATTTGCACTGCAGAGCGGATCCTGGTGTATACGGGACCCTGGTGTATACATTTTTTGTTGTTTCCCCGGGACATCGGGGAACAAGTATACACCACACCACCCCAGCGTCGTCCTCGACCGTCAAGAAGCCCTGGGATTGAAGAACAGCCCGCCTCTGGTACTGTATATGTTCCAGTTTCCGATGTTCTGCACCGCCTGGACCTGAGGCGGCCTTGGCACCTGCGGCACGCTCGTGGGACTTCGGGGCCGGAGAGGTCGGCGAAGGGGCCGTTCGGCTCTCGCCCCGCTGGCCTCGCAGGGGCACTTCGCGAGGATCAGAAGGGCTAAAGTAGAGAGCAGAAAATCCCCCCCCATAATAAGCACCCCGACAAGCGAAGCCGTTTAGTAAACGCATCCGTGGAAGGAATCGAACAGGGCAGGGCTGTTTAGCAAACGCCCAGGGCTGTCTAGTAAACGTGTATTGTCGAGCTGGGATGGTTTTTTCACCCTTGACAAAAGGGCTTCGACTTCGACATTATTCTGCGGCAGCTCATTGGAGCCTCCCATGCCATCTTGTTGGCTCTCGCAAGTCGACGCTAGCTCGACTCTAAATCGGCGCTATCTGATCGATTACCAAACACTAATCGACGCTAATTTACTCTGAAAACGGAGTTACGCGGGTATGCAGGGCTCCCATGATTTGGTACCGAAACATGGAGCCGAAGCTGGGGACCGAAACATGGAGCCGAAGCTGGGGACAGCTTAGGCCAGGGGGGACCTTTAGCAATCCTCGACTCGGGCGCTCTGGCCTGCCCCTCTGGACGGGACGGGACGGCGAAAAGGACGAGCTGGGGCGACGAGGAAAGTTGGCGCGGCGCACGAAGGGGTGGTGCGATGGGGGCGGCATTCTAAGGAGGCGGGGGGCGTCTGAGAAAAGAGGGGCTTCTTGGAAGGGCACGGAGGCTCCTCACAAGCATCCTCAGAAGCTTCCGGGCCCCTCTAATTAAGCAGGCCCCCTCCTTCTTCTTAGAAAAACCCCGCCTTCTTCGAAGGCTGCTCACCTTGCGCCACCCCCGGCTCGACGCCTGAGTGCCCACGGGCACGAGGAGTTGATCCTTGCCTGCAAGGCGGCAACAACGGCCTGCGTGCTTGAGCGTGGAGATCCCCAGCGCCCCACCGAGAGCCAACCAAGGTGACCCCAGTCAAGGGTGACTCTTACACGCCGGTCGGAAAAAGTGGGTAGAAGCATGAAGTAGGAAGGCGTTGGAAGTAGATTGGGCTTCCGCCCGCCCCCTGAATAGGAAAGAAGAAGGAACACCACTCGATCCTTGAAGTAGGAAGGCGCCTAAAAGTAGATTGGAATCTGCGAATCTAGAACTACCGTCTTTCAACGAACGGCGTGTGCTTGTAGCCGACGCATGCAGCCTTCCGCCCTTCTCGGTGCCGCCCAAGCTGGGGCGCAGAACCCGTCCCGGCGAAGAGGCCGCGGGCTCCGGGGGCGACGCGTTGAGCAGACCATCGCGTCGGATCCAGACCTCCGCCGTCGCAGTTCTGTCGAGACGTTCGGCTGCACGGAAGAGTGACCCCGGGGAAAGAGTGACTTTTGGTGCGCGACCGAACGGGGGACGCGGGGCGGTCAGGCCCGGGCGCGCAAGCCGCTGTTGCCGCTTCGCGATCAGCGATCGGGGGACCTCGTTGGGCCCGCGCCACAGGTCACTCCAACGAAAGGTCACTCTCTTACGTGTAGTCGAGATGTGCCCTGGACCCCTCAAGGACGGGTTGGTCGTCGGGCATATGCATGTTGGCAGCCCGGGAGCCAGGACACGGCCCTTTTCAGAGGCTGAGAGCGGCAGAAAAGGCGCTGGCTCGATCTCTTCGGGGCGTTTGTAAGTCCGGGGGCCACGTGCTGCAAAGACCAGGACGTCGGAGAGGCCTTGGGAGGGCCCCTCCTCCTCCTCCTCCTCCTCCCCCTCCTCCCCCCTGGCTTGATTTAGGGCGGGGTTTTCGGACTCAACGGACTCAGCCTGTTTTTGCATCATCGCCATCGTCATCGTCATCATCGTCGTCATGATATTCATCATCGTCCGCGTCATCGCCATCATCATCACCATCTCCTCATCATCGTCATCATCATAATATCCATCATCATCTCCTCGTCATCGTCATCATCATGTAGGGATGATGATAATGATGATGATTAAATCAAGACCCGCATGACGATGATGGCGGCGTGAACATGTTGATGCTGATGATTATGATAACAATGATGATGAAGCCGATGATTGCGATGATGATGGCGATGAAGATGAAGATGCTGATGAAGATGAGGATGACGATAACCTTCTTTCGGACTGCGCGGGCCGTGCTGAGTACTAATCGGAAAGCCCCGCAGCCTCCGTGGAAGCGGGCCACCGCATTTCGTCAAGCACCTCCGTGAGGTCGGGCAGCGCCACGGGGACCCGTGCCAGGTGATCGGCCACGACGTGGTTCACGACGTTGAAGAACTCCTTCGGGCCAGGCGTGGCGTCGATCCTGCGCGCCCTGAACTCCCGAAAGACGTCGGAGCGGATCATGGCGGCGATTTGCAGCCTGCTGTCGCCTACGCGCTGTTGCAGCTCGTGGTGGGTCGCGAAACAGTCCTGGCAGTCCGCGGAGGCGTGGTGGTGCACGTTGTGCTCGAGGGAGGACAGGGTGCCCATGTAGAAGGACCCAGGCTTTTGCTCGAGGGTGGCGGCCCTTCCGCAGGAGGCTGTGCTCGAGGGTGACGCCCCATCATGTGCTCCCATGGCCCCTGGGATCCTCACTTGCACGGAGCGCGTCCCGAAAATCGTCGCGGCCGCGTGCAACAAAGAGCATCCGCCATCTGTGTGCCAACCGTCGTCCCGTGCGCCTGGTTGCATGAGCTGGATCGATGCGTGCGCGAACGCGTTGTCGGCGAAGCGCTCTGTCATGA